TTGAGACCAAGCTGTTAGCAGATCCTTGCATTACAGCACCACCGCCTAGTTCCGAGCTCCGATCGCCAACGAACTAAGCAGACCTGAACTCTATTGGCCCGAGCTTCTACTGCGTACTGAAGCTCCCCAGCAACCTCATTTGAACGGTCCAAGGGAAGCAGACTCGCCAGCAACCTCATTCGAACGGTCCAAGGGAAGCAGACTCGACACGAGCATCGAGCGAAGCATCCTGTAGCCACCTAAAGTCCCCACACAAAACAAAGAGGGCTTTCCCTCTGCTTCTGTTATAAACATTTGATTTGTTAGTTTGTAATAAGCCTTCTTATTAATACAAACAAACACTCCCTATTTTCGGGAAATCAAATTTTCACCCTACACTCATACAGCGTTATCCGTGCTGGAATGTTAGCTAGTTGAGCCATTATATCGAAGATTTGCGGAGTCTTCGAGCTTTCCGGTTTGTCACTTCCAATCGGGCGGCTGAAACGAGACTGCTTTGGATTCTGCACCTCCTGGGGATTCTTCTCTCTCGGTTTATCCACCAGCTGTCGTCGAGCCTCTTTGCCCGGTGTAGGACTTGTGATCACCCCCATCTCTGTGAGAGTTTTGGCTGGTCCCCGTTTATTCACCCCCTGCTCACTAGGTGGTGGATAGTTGTAGTGATACTCATTTCCGCTTCGGGTCGCAAAAACTTCTTGTTCTTCTTCAGAGAGCGGGAAAGCTATGATTCTTTCGTCATCTTCTCCTGGGATAGCATAGACTCCGCAGCAAGACTTTCCTTTCTCTTTGGACTTCTTCTTGGATGACGATCCAGCCTATTGTTCATCTTCAATCAGATCGGGGTGAACCCAGAGGATTTCGCCGTTTGGGGCTGTATGTGGCACAAGCCCTTTTTGGCGCTGTCTATGTGGGTCATCATTCACCGTCTTCATTCCCACCTTGGTGACGCGTTTCGGCTCGAACCATGTTGTGGGCACCGATCCAAAACTGATTGACACCGCGTTTGCTCCAACATTCTTGGACGGCTTCGGGGTGATAACGCCTACATCAATTAGCGCCTGGATCTTGTCCTTGAGGTGGTAGCATAACTTCGTAGGGTGATGGACCGCCCTATGATATGCACAATACCTCGGATCCGTCACTTTGCTAGCCCCTTCTTGATCCACAATCGCTGGCAGCTAAATTTTGTTGTTCTCCAACAAGTACTTAAAGATGCCGGGAACTTCGTCATCTTTGAAGGAGTACACTTTGGGAAATCTTGGCTCTGAAGACTTCTGCTTCTGAGGCCGTTGTTGCCATTGTGACTGCGATTGTTGTGACGCTCGTTGCTGCTGCTGCTGTTGCTGAGGTTGCAATTGAAAGGTTTGATTAGCATCAACTAACATGTCCAATGCGAGGTTGTTGTGGCAAGTCTGGAGGATGAATTCCTCAGTGATTGGGTCCCTGCAGTTCATCGCCTTGTTCCGGAACCTTTTGACGAAGGTGTCGACTAACTCTCCGTCTTTCTGCTTCTCATCGAGCAACGATCCGATAGAGATCTCGGTGTCGTCGTCGAAGAAATTTGTAAGGAACTTCGTCTCCATGTCGTCCCAACTGTTTATGCTTCCTGGCTTGAGGCGACGATACCAATCGAAGGCGGCTCCGCGAAGAGTGCCAACGAATGACCGCACCATCAGAGGCTCATTACCAGAGATGACTCCCAAGTGCGATTTGAAGTAAATCAAATGCTGAGTGGGTGAACCCATCCCATTAAACGGCGTGAAGTTAATTAGACTGAACTTCGCCGGATATGGGATTGATTCCCACTCTCTTGGGTATGGACAAGGAATGCCCGTCTTTTTCGTCTCTTGAGCGGAAATCAATGTATTGATTTTGCTCTCGAGGTTTTTAATTTTTAGGCTTTCACCTGTATCTTCACTAGCATTCCCGTTGCCACCACCTGCATTGACGGGAGGATCATTGACATTATGAGCATTCGTATCCTCGTCCTCCTGATTAACCGGGTTACAACGGCTTGGCTCGCCTTGCTGGTTCGCCAATGCTTGGATTTGTTGGTCATGCATTTCTCTCATGTTCTGCATGGCCATCTGCATCTCGAACCTGATGGTTTCCTATTGCTTAGCTAAGGCGTCTTCAAGCATATTGGCAATTTGTTCCGCACTTATCATAAGTGCCTCGCGGGGTTGTCCCTCGCTGGATACCGTATTATCTGATGCAACCGCGGAGCCGGCATCAGATTCTTCATCTTCTGAAGGGCGTCTTGTCCGAACCCTACCATAGGTTGCTCGCTCGATGGTTCCGGACTGCAGACGGGTTCTAGGCCAGGAGGCTCTCAGAATCGACTCGAAATCATCCCGTGCCGATATCCCTTTGCTGGTCATGTTGGTGGTGACCCTCGGAAATTCTCCGTCTTCAATCATCCTTCTTCTTCGTTGAAAATGCCTAGGCCTGGGTTTTGGTGTCTCCGCACTGAGTCTTTCAAAAACTGAAACTCTTTCGGGGACCGCCTTGATGCAGTTGCATTCAGACAATACCGCCCGAATGAGTTTGGAACAGGGGCATTGAATTTCCTGTTCTCGGGGACTCCTCTTCCTGGTTCTATTCGTACCCCCAGCACGATAGTACAACTCGTCATTTTGACAGTCGGAATAACCTATCGTGTGCGGGCACGACTTCTCAGGTATGACACTATCACTATCAGATGATAATGTTTCCATCTGAGGTTGGATTTCCTTCTTTGGGCTTTCAAAAGTTACACGCTTCGAAACGTGCCTTTGTGGGCGCGAGTCTTCAGTGTGCTCTTGGACTTCGATGCACAAATTGGTGCGCGCAGTTGCCTTAAGCTCTTTGTCATACTGGAGGTGACGGCGACCCCCAACGTGTTGAGTCGTTCTGGGCTTCTTCATTGGGCCCAAACGCTCGTGAACTGGAACTTTGCCTCTCTCATCGGGAACTGGACCGAGGCGTTCCAAAACTGGCTTATTCCTTCGGGATGATTCTGCATGATCTCCCGGAGTAGCCATAGGAATTAACAGCGACTTTGGTTGATTCGCCGGAGTTTGACCTTGCTTAGAAGACTGCGATGGTTGCTTTTTGGCCTGAGTTGCCACTTCAGACTTCAGCTTCCAGACCTGGCGGGTTGGTGGTGGCTTCTTCGTCACCTCCTTTTGCAGTCTTCTACGGGCTTCCTGGACTTTAGCCCGTGCCTGTGCTGACATCGCGCGGCGCTTGCGGATACGCTCCTCAAGCGTCGAACGGTTCCGTTTGACGCGGACCCATTCATTCTTTGGCAGCTTGGAGGAGTCGCCGTTCATTGGTGGTCCGCGTTGTAGCGGAATCCGTCTGTAGACTCCATCGCCTTGGCGAGTTGCCGCGCAAGGCGTTGACGACGCCTCTGGCGGGCTCTCTTTGAGAGAGTCACAACGCCTTCAACAGTGGAGGCGTTGGCGGGAGTTAGGTTGACCTGGTTGGAGGTCGGCAGAACTTCATCCGACGTGACTTTGGCGTCAGCTGGGGTGAGAGCTTCGTTGGCTTTCCAAGCTTCTTCGAACCAACGAACTTTTCTCCTGGAGGAGAACTTCTTGGACTTGCGGGGGGAGGTAGATCAGGACGAGGACACATACTCCTCGAACTTGGCTTGGTCGAACTCATACTCGACCTCCTCCTCGACCGGGATCGGAATCCGCGGCTGCGACGTGACGATCTCGGCAGCGAGATCGGCGGCTCCCACTGTGGTCGCCAGATTGTTCGCGGGGAAAACTGTAGCTTTCTTCATGATGTCATTGTGATCTCAAAATAACAACTTTTTGTGGTTAAAAAGACCGGTCTTTTTTAATCCGGTTACAAGAAATCAAAAAAAAAAATAAAATAAAAAATTACACTTTCTCCTTGTGAACAAATCGCGAGCTCCTGTTTTGCGGTCGACTCAGCTTGTGTGGGTTCTTTGCCAACGCCGGGGTTTATCTGTGGACCAACCGCGCGATATAGATCCCGGTCGATCTACACGATTGACGGGGTATTATTCAACGAAGGGAATAATAGCCGGGAGGGATTAGTTCCTAGGAAATAATCGGCTCGTATCTCGGGATCTAAGACCAAGCTTAGATCGGAGTGTGATCTCATGGTAGATCTCAGATCTGTTCTTCCCCCCTCTCGAACTCCTGCCTTTTGTGACGTGGATGCTCGCCGAGGATCAGATCTGGATGTCCAAGTCTCAAGTCTTCAAAACTCTAAGCTCGATCTTCAATCCGGCAGAGTTTCGCGGCTCTCAAAAGTCTAACCTTTGAAATGAACAACCCTTGGCCTATTTATAGGCTCTCTTTACTGTGCCGCGTACGGAATGTGTCGCCACCTATAGGTGGCCGGCACTGACCGAGCCACCCATGCTGGCTCGCTTTGGCCGAGCCACCTATGGGTGGCTCGGCTTAAGCCGAGCCCCCTTAGGCGTTGTTCCGTCGTTTTCCGTTTTTGGTTCTATCCGTGATTCGGTTCTGTGGTTGATTTATCCAGACCTTGACTCATTTTTCTGATTTGGCAGTAAGTCGGATTCCTGATTTGGCAGTAAATCCACTTCTGAGTTCGAGTCCGAAACCGATCTTGATTCGGTCGTAATTCATCCGAGTTCGCTCTTGTTTGGATGACTCGTTGACTCCCCGAACCGTTGGCTTGATTCCGCATGCGAATGGATGCATTCTGTTGCTCGCGTGCGATTCGTTGACCTTGTCGCCTCGTCACTCGATGGTTTGTCGAATCATCGCGCCGAGCTATGCCAAGGGACTTATAAGCAATTTTACATGCTTACAATCACTTTAATAGGGATTTTTTCGGTTGATTGTTTGTTGTTCTTAGACTCCATTACAGACTCCAGCCAAGACTCTGATGCCACAAACTCCGATGCATGGGGCGGTGGATTACAACATTTCGACCGGGCCATCTGATTTTGCTTCGTTGAATGATATTAATATCAAAGCTCAAAGGCCTAGTCCTTACCTGGTATTATATTTCTGCTCCTGAGTAATTTAGCTTAGATTACATGGTAAATGGTATAATAATATGTTTGATTTGTTACATACACAAAGCTTTTATGTTATGTTATCTCGTTGATGTTCTTGTTGGTGGATTATAAGAAGTATTATATGTCAAAACATAATTTTATGTAAATAAGATGGCTGATGGAATTGCTTTTTTGGTGTCCATTGTACAGCTTATGATGAGGGTGGTGATGATTTGAATAGAGGAGCTTCTCATCAACCTTTGACTCAGGTGAATCTCTCTTTTTCAGCATTCAGACTTCAATGTAATGTTTGCTTTCTAGCTATCTTGTCAAAGTTATTTCATGGACCCTCTTGCAAGTTCGTCCTCTGTTTCCAACCAATAATTATATCTTAATTATGTATTTACACAGCCTACAAACTGTATATCCAATTCTGTCACTTATTTTCCTCTGTAATTGTCATTTTCCAAGAATGCAATTGTGTTTTGAATAGCCTGAACGCAAAGTTGATGCTCTACGTTATCTATCTACAGGACTTCTTCGTAACGTCCTCTGGAAACGGAAATGGGACGATTACACTTCTCTAGCTGCTGGAGTTTATTTACTTAGATTAACTAAGGTTAGTGGTTGAACAATGTCTTTATTATGTCTTCCATAGGTCTTTTCTTTCTGATTTTTTGTATGAATGATTTGATAACTATATACTTTCAGTGGCACTATATACTTTCAGTGGCAAACTTGAGCTTTCAACTAAATGTTTTCAAGATTTGCTTCTGAAAGATCAAAACCATCTTGCTGCTCTGATCAACTATGCTGTTATCATCTTATGCAAATATGGATCTGTCGTTCCAGGTATGACCCTAATATATGGAGTTAAAATGCCATTGTAGTGTTAGTATTGTAAATTTGCTGAAATTTGATGTTTATAATATCACCATTTTTACCGTGGGTTCTCGTGTCCTCATCTTAGGATAGTACAAGTTTATAACTTGTCCCTTTGCATTTCAATCACATTATATTTTTTTTCTTAATTGTCTCATATTGCACTTCCTTTATATCCATTGAGAAATTAACTTACATTTGCTAAAGCTCCTTGTCTTTATGCAAACTTTTCTTTGCTGAAACATGTAAGATGTCCTATATTTTGTTTCTGGATTGACAAATATCTCTCTTTGGCTGCATTGTCAGTTACTATCATAAACTGTAGATTTCTTATTGGTGTCATTTGAACAAATTCTATTCTTTCTGCATGTGAGAGCTATTGAGTATACTGAGATAGTTTTTTCAAAATGACAATTGAGTATACACTGAAACATTCTAATCTTTTGTTCAACTTCTAGGTCCAGGAGCTAATGCAGGAGAAGGGGCTTATGTAAAAAAAGTTGAAGCTGGAACTGTTGCTAAAGATTGCTTACTTGCAACGTTGAGAGCTGATCCTAAAGCTGGCCCATTATGGGTGAACCTTGCAAATGCATACCAAGTGGTCGGTGATTATAGGAATGCAAAGAAGTGCTTGGAGCAGGTATATGCTTTTCTTCTGTAAAGTTCCTTAATCCATGAACATTTTCTTAATGTTATTGGAGAAAACTAATAATTAGGTGTTGATATTTAATGTTATTAGTAATAAGTCCTGATAAGATTTTGATCCATCGTTCATAGCTCTGGTTACTTGGGTTCAAGAAACATGGTGGAGCACCTATTTTTTCTCTGCATCTTTTCCACCTGCTAACTAAGTTGTATAAGATGTAGAACTTGGTCAACATCATGATAGTTATAGCATTTGTTTATTTGTGGGATATCTGACAAATGTTATATTCTTTCTCTTGTTATGCAATATAGTCCATTTGGTATCTATGCAATGGAAGGTTTATGCATAAAATTTATTCCTTAGGCTTGAATATCATGAGAGTTTGTTGTCCTGGTCCCTAGATTTTTGTTATCATGAGAGTTTGTTGTCCTGGTCCTTAGATTTTTGTTGCTACATTCTCATGTTTGTATAGACAGCAAAGCTAGAACCAAATCAAATGTCTGCTCATCATGCTGTTGCCACTCATCGAATAAAAGATGCTAAAAGGTCTCAAGTTTGTACAGAACAAAGGACGTGTTATAGAAGAAAAGAGAAAGAACTAGATGCTTCAACAACGCTTAGATGAGCAGGAGTAACAACAACAAAGGATGTCTGAGTTGAAGTCACAAGTGAAAGCTATACAAGAACTTTTTTTTAGGCAATCACCTTCATTGACTTCTCAAACTCGAGAACATGTGTAGGACTAGGTAATTTTTTTTTGTAAAATCTCTTATATATTTTTATATTGATTACTTGCACTAAAATGTGATTTTTTACTTAATAAGATAATGTTTGCTTAATTGATATTTCTTAATTATGTGATTTTTTTAAAAATTTTCAGGCTATTTATGCAAGATTAGGAGGAGGTAGCTCGAGTCTTCTTTTGACGATGATTAGAGATGAAAGAATGTGTCTTTCCCAAACTATTATTTTTCAGGCTATCCATGCAAGATTAGGAGGGGGTAGCTCGAGTCTTCTTTTGACGATGATTAGAGATGAAAGAATGTGTCTTTCCCAAACTATTATTTTAATTTGCTTTAGATAGTTTCATGTATTTTTCTTTGGAACAATTAGGATATTAACTCTTGTTATTAGTATTGAATATTTGAGGATGGTGGAATTTTATTTATTGATGTTATTAATGAATGGAGTTTTTATTTTCCCTTTTATTCATTATTAGGTGTTTTTAATATATTTGTGTTGTGAATCTTAGTGTGAGGTTGAGAATAATATGATAGTTGCCTATGAATGAAAAAAATATTATTAATGTATATTAGAAATTTATAGTCTACAATGACGGTTTTATAAATCGTATTTTGTTAATAAATGAAAGGAAAGCACCGTTGTTGATGGGTTACTAATTACCCATTATGAGGACTTTTACGACGGTATTCAACCGTCATTAGTTAGTCTTCAACGAAGGGAAAATATCCCCGTAACTAATGGTAACGACGGAAAAATATACCCGTCATTGATGGTAACGACGGAAAAATATCCCCATCACTGATGGTAACGATGGTGATAATTACCGTCGTAAATATTAATGACGGTAATATGTTCCGTCGTTACAGACTCTATAACGACGGGTAGTATATCCCTTCGTGACCCTTTAGCGAAGAGGGCTTCAACGACGGGTAACGAAGGGATTTTTTCCCGTCGTTAGCATACAATAACGAAGGTTTTCAGCTCTTTAACGAAGGAAAATCCATTCGTTAAAGATGTAATTTCTTGTAGTATCCTTGGTGACGTCTATCTTCTCAAAAAAATTCCACACATCAGATCTCGGTTTTTTAGGAGCTGTTGGTGCAGTAGATTCATCGCCACCAGATTCAGGATTAACACCGGTAGGAGGAGGAGTTGTTGTAGAAGGACTCATCTCTGGATCGGTAGGAGATAGGTTTTGCTCTTCATAATCAGATCCAGAAGCTATTTGATAGAAGTATTAGAAAATATAAGAGATTATAAGATAATATAAGAGAGTATAATATTGTATAACAGAGTATTAGAGAGAAGTAGATGAGTTTTGTTGTGAGGAAATGAAGTGAAACCCCCTCTATTTATAGAGGCAGCCCCTAGGTAAATGACCAAAAAACCCTCATATTCTAGCCGTTTTTTAACCGTTTTAAGGGGCAAATCGGTCAAATGGCCAAATATGACCGTTTGGCCAGGGCGGCCCGACCCGGCATAAACGGTTAGGAAATGACGGGACGGGCTGGCCAAATTCGCGCAACGGTCAATTGTGACGCGTTGGCGCCGGCCGGGGCCGGGCTGCCGGCCGCGACCGCGGTTTTTTTTGACAACGGTCATGCCAGGGTGAGCGTTGTTTTCCGGGCCGGGGGCGCGCGTCCAGCGTCGGGGGACTGGGGGAGCCGATACTGTTCGCGGGTGAGTTAATCGGGGACTGTGCGGGTTTCCGGCCCGGGGTTCGTGGCCACCGGCCCGGTCGGGCCCGGGCCGCGGGCTTTTTGGACACTTCTAATTATGATAAATGTCTCGGTCTTGAATTCTTTTGACACTGTGATGCTATGGGCTGGTTTATTGTGCTTCGCTCTCAGATACAAATGATAATGAAAAGGAGCGAGAGCGAGAAGCTGACATTAAATTTCAGGCATACGCACCTCCCGTTCAGTTACTAAGAAGTAACCCAAATTCGAAGTTTTGTTGTGTATCATATTTTTGAGGAATTGAAGTTTTTTAAGGAGGCAATGTATTTTAATTACCTATCCGTTAACCGAGGAATCGAAGCCACATTAACAGGAATTATAATTGACCCTTTAAGAAAAGAGGGGTCAGGGTAGAATTGTCATTTAAATTTTTATCTAACGGCTTTTTTTAACGGAAAATTAAAATAGAATTAAGTTTACATCTAAATAGAGTGACTAAGTTGAGAAAAAAGAAAAAATAAAAAGCAAGGATCAAATTGGTCTTTTAGCCTTTCAGAAAATATTTATTGAATTTCATTTTATTTATTTCTAAAAACGTTTTTAGAAAAAACTTAGTGAATTTGGTCCAAAAGATTTTAGGAAAATATATTTTATTATACAGTAGTTTGTGAATTTTTTGCTAATATATTTAGAAAATATTTTTCAGAAAAATACTAAAGTTTGTCAATGACTCAAATAAATTTCAGAACATGTAATATTTACAAAATCTTATTGATTTTCATCAAGTATATTTTTTGAGAATATATTTTTATATAAAAATTAAATAGAATAAGTAATTTCTCTTAAGATTATTTTTGTCTCATCAATTCCATCTAGATTTCATCGTCTAAAATAGCCTAGATCAGTCAATCAATTTGTTGGTTATTACTTTTTTGAGAAAAAGAAGAAATTCAACGAATTTTTTTACTGCATTTATTGTGTTGATTGTTGTCATATTTACGTTTTTGTCAGATTTTAAATTTCAACCATAAAATAATTTGCACCAATTTTAGTGAGATTTGTGATTTCAGTTAGATATCATCAACAAAATTCATGTATAACCAAACAAAATTGGTCAGAATTTTCCTCCATAAAAATATTATTCAATATAAACATTGATAACAAAAAAAAGATCATAGGTTCGATTTTACCCACCGTGGATGACTAGACGGTTTTAGGTTCTATTTTGTCAACGGGGAAAAAAAAGATTATGATTATGAATATTTCAAAATCCATCGCATGCTCAAAGTTTTTGAAAATACAATCCACAAACCAAAAAGCCCAAAGTGATAGTATTTTGAAAAATAGGTAAATCTAGCATTCCTACTAAAATAAATACGATTGAAGAAAGAATGAAATATATACTAGTTCCCCACTAAGGTTTAATAATGCTCTTATTGGAGAAGGGGAAAAAGGAAAATCCAAGAAGTGTCTTCTAGAGTACTACGATAGGGAGGAAAAAGAGGGTGACCTGACATGTTTATTAGGGAAGGAAGAAGATGGTGATCTGACGTATCTATGTAGTTATTACATTTCTATCATCATTATCAGAAAAATTACAACTGTATGGATAGACAATAGCTTTACTGATAAACATTAAATGACATATTGAATAAGTTTCGTAATGTGCCAAATATCCCACTATACTTGCTCGCAAGAGGATGTTCTTTGTCTGATGGTATGTCTTTTTCCCCCTTCACCATCGATCGGTGCCCTATGAATGAGTCTTAAGCTCATCTATATATCCATAATATCAACTTTG